TTTCTAAAATCATAATTTATTAAATTACATCAATAATTAAGCAAATTCTTAAAAGCTCAAAAGACTATCAAAATCTTAATCGAATTTTGAGAATAAATCATGAACATTAATATTGTATCTTTGAATAGTTAATTGTAATTTTTAAATAATTTTATCAGGATCGAACATATATGTTTGAATTGGCATTTAATTCAAATGAGGTGTTGATTAGGATTGGTTTAAAATTGATTATTATGTAATTGTTAAGCCTTAATGATTAATATCTTTATGTTTTACTGGATTATTTTAAATGTTTTTTAAAGATGCTATTTATTTAGTGGCTGAATTCCGTTGATTTTGACGACCTTTAACTTTTGATATTATTGCCATCTTTGTATTATTATCTGTGATCCATTTTTCAAATTCCTCCAATGATACAGATTTATCTCCATCTAAATCCAATTTCTTAAATATCACTTAGCAATCTTAACGACTTAGATTTTTATCAATAGTATGCAATAATTACACTAATTCAGAAAACTATAATGTTTGATCACCATTTTGATCAAATTCTTAAAATAAATAACTTATATTCAAATTTTGCTTTACAATTTTCTATCTTAATTCATTCATTAAAAACTTGATTTATTCTTCCTTTATATGTGTTTGATAGTTCTTAAAATAATCTTTAACCAATTTGTTCTTGAAAACTTCATCCCAATTCATTCTGTTTGCTTCTTCTATTGTTAGACAACCTTCTATAAATTATTTCATCTCATCACTTACTGATGTTTAGTCATCAGGAAAATCTAACCATTTATGCTCAATATTATGGAGCAATTATTCTATCTTAGCACCACTCCATGGTGTATAACCATACAATGCATTGTATAATATTATTCCTATTGACCATATATCACATTTGCTTGTATATTTACTGTTTTATAACACCTAAGGAGAATGGAACTTAAAATCTTAATCCTTAAGTAATTAGTCCTTTTTAAAATTCTCCATACATTTTGTTAATCCACAATCTCAATATAATAATAATTTATACCAGCTAATTTATAACCTTTATCTGTTAACATAATATTTGTTAATTTTAATCCTCTATGAATTATTCCATGACTTATTAATTCAGTGAACCCTCGAAGTATATCTATCAATAACTTAGTACATTCAGATTCAGGTAATTTATGAACTTATTACAAATAAGTTTATAAATCTTATTTACAATGTTCCATGACAACATAATAATTATTGTCTGTTTGTATTACTTCTACTAACTAAACTATTTATGGATGCTTTAATTATTGCATTAATTTCATTTCATCCAGCAATGCACTTTAGAGACCTTCATCGTCTGTTATACTATTTTTTTTTATTATCCTTATTGCATATTAGTTCTTTTTAGCATCAATAGCTTTTACAACCTATTTTTTGAATATTTTTCATTACTGTTCCTGTAGTACCCATGCCAAGCATGTCTTTTGGATTATATTGGTATCTGTCGATTTATTTCATTAAGAAAATTATAATTTCAGCGTTTTTTATTAGAAGAACTTATTAATAATGATTTATGTTGAACAGTCTTTTAATAATATATATTTTCTTTTAATAACAACATACTTTATATTATTCTCTAATTGCATATCTTAAATGTATATTTCTAAATTTTATTAAAACAAATAAAATAAAGATATAGAGAATGAAGTGTTTTAATTTGATGATAAATAAAATAAACTTGTAAAAATATTATTAAATATAACTTTAATAAATAATATATTGCATAATTAGTTTCCATTGAATTATTTATAAAACTTTTAATATAATAGTATGATACTATATTTATTTTATATTTAGGATGAAAAAATGAGTCCTCTCAATGAGGAATTATTATATAAATAACTAAAAACAGAATTCAAATGAAAATGTTAAACAAGTAAAAATGTAAAAGGATTTTTATGAAGATTTGGATATTGATATATTGAACTTCATTATCAAAAGACCTCTTCTCTAATTTGGAGGAATTCTGATGCAGCGCTCATCTTTTAGGTGAGAACTTCTTATAATCTTTCAACGACTTCCAATTATTATTCTCTTTCAAAGGTTTAGGCTTCATATTAGGATTCTTATTCTGCAGCCCATCTCTCTTAAATAGCCAATGAGTCTTCAGCATCTTCAAGGAATAACTAATAAAATTAGAAATTTAATTAATACAGTTTAATCTTCTAAGTCTTCAACAGCTTCTTAGATTGTTACTTTGAATTAGACAATTGAATTTTCTAAGAATGCCTTTCTTTCAACTAATCTCTTGTGTTCTTCTTATAAGTGACCACTTTAGACTTCCCAATTTGCAGCTTATCTTTCCTCTGTAGCAAGGAGAGATGCTCTGCTGGCAACTAATTATTATCTGATTTAAGCTAAGAGTTCTAAGATCTTGATGATGCTCTTGTTATCAACTTTTGAGGCTAATTATGTCAAGGCATTGATGAGTGGCTAAACATATAAAAATATATATAAAACCTTGAAGAGAGCATGTTTGGATTCCATCAATTTGGCTTAGACTTTTTCAAATCTGCTTTTGAGTTAAGCAAAAGCAACACCAGCTTATAAGTGTTAAACGATTTTTGAGGCTTCATCAATGGCATCCATTTAATCAACGTGTTCTGCATCTTTTCTAACCCATGTTTCATGTTATGATTATCTTGTAGCAGATTCATCAGCAAAGCTTCTTTCATTATTGGCAATATCTGAGGTAACAACTCTGACTTCAGCTTCTGCTTCACCCAAAGCTTCGGTTGTGGAATCTCTCAAATTTGAAAGAGCAACAATTTGGGATTAGTGATAAGCAATTTCTTGTTCTAAGTCAGCAATGATCTAAACAATATTATTATGCTTACCTTTTCGAAAGCAACTGTATCACTCTCATGAACTTTATCAGCTTTCTTTTAATCTCCGTTGAGTTGGGAAGCAATATTGTTTAAGAGAATTTGAATTTCACCAACAGGTCCTCCTGTGGCCAATTAAAGTTAAAGGACTGACAACACTGAATTTCCAAATGAATCTTTGTTAATTTAAGCCAACACTTCTTTTGGGCTTTCTGTCTTTGCTACTCTAGCAGTTGCAACTGCAAGGATAAGAGTCAATACAGGTACGATTCTCATGTTATTAATATTAATGAAATGAAATCACAATCAATCTCCAAGACATTAAAAATTACCCGTTTTTTAATTTATTTCCTCACCTTCATAAATACGTTTTTGTTTAATTAAAAACTCATTCATTTTATTATTCCATCTATAATACTCTTTGACTTTAGTTTATAATCTATCTCAAATTTCTTAATCCAAACATTACAAAAGTTTAAATATTAATTTGAATGATCTTTCAAAACACTTTTAGGAATTTATTTATTTTTAAATTAAAAACATGATTAGATTTCTAAATTTTTAAGAAAACTTTTTATAATCCAAAATTATTCTATTCTATTCTAATTCATAAATCTATTAAATTAATATGATCAACAACTGCAAAAAATATATTTGAAGTATCACAAATAAGTCTATAAATTTAATCAAAATATCTTTCAAAATGAATCTATCCAAAAATCAATAAATTAATATAGAGAAAACAAACAATATTATTCTTTTATATTTTTATTTTACAATAAAATAAGTTCATTATATGATGTTAAATATTCAGGCATTAATTACAATGTATCCAAATTGGAATATTTTATGCATAAACAAAATCATAAAAAAATAAAAATTAATTTTACATTTGATATATTACTATGAAATTATTATAAAGATATCGATTAGTATTAAGTTATTTTTAAGAATGTAATAGATATATAATCTTAACACAAAAAGTAATCATAAAACAAAGTATTAATTTTGAGACATGTTATCATTGAATATAATTGCTTTTCTAATAAATAACCTCCTTTTCTCTATTGGTGTTGATGTTACTTTGAATTAATTATTAAAAAATAAAAACATTAATCAAAAGTAATATAAAGTCTTAGAGAAATAATCTAAAATTTTTTCTTAAATTTTTCATTTAATCCAAAATATTCTTAAAGAGAGTACTACTTTAGAATGAGAGATAAAAAGTTCTACTAAACAAATTTTACATTTTCTGTGATAGTATACATTCTATTAAACTGACTGTGAGAAAAGATTTGTTTTAAATTTAATATTTGAAGTAAACAATTTAATTCATTTCTAGTCTTAAATACCATTCAGAATTTTTTTTTTAACTAAATCGTCAATATATCATGTGTTTTTTTTGTTTTGTAAAAGTGGCTAAATGTTAGTGATCTTTTTGTTCATTTAATTATTTAACAATAAAATAATTAAAAGAATGAAATAAAAAAAATAACCATAGACTCCTGAATAAATAATATATATATTAAGGTCTTTCAAAAGTTATATTGGGAAAAAAAATTCAATAAGTCCATAGACAAGGTGCTAAACTTGTGTTTAGACTGTGAAAAAGAAGGCAAAATAAACTTTTGATTGTATAGTGAATTAGTCAATTGGAAAGATGTAGGATTAAGAAGAAGGGAAGGAGAGTGTAGAGGAGAAAATAGAATTATTGTCACATTAAATAAAGAATATGTATATAAAATAAGAATAATTGGAGAGTCAACATTATTAATTAAGTAGAAATGTTAAGAAGCTAAATCTAGAGAATAAGCATTAAGTGCAAGTAAGAAATAAGTATGATTAATTAAGGAAAGGAGTTAGATGATTAAAAAATTAGATTATATGATTAATATCCAGACTAAGTAGGAAGATAATTTAAATTAATTAAAATAACTATTTGCCTCTCGAAAAATAATTTGACTATCTTTATAAATTTAGTTAAATATGGAAGAATGGATTTATAGTAATCAATAAGTTAATAAGTCTATTAGTTTACAATTATAAATTTTTGTTGTATATTTTTTTTTTATATTTATACAAAAAAAGTGTACAATTTAGTATTTTATAAAAATATTCTCAACAAACTAAAATATAATGAAAAAGTCAAATGAGAATGAAAGAATAGCTTAAAAAATATATGTTTCTTAGATATAGAAATTGTAAGGTAATATATTAGAAAAGAAACTTTCTAAAGTATGTTCAAAATAAAAATTTGAGAGCCAATCATAAAATATCTCTAATAACAACAGTCCTGTAATGGGACGTTAATAGTCATTTGAAAATTTATAGAAGGTGAATGGAACATTCATAAATCCAACTCTTCAGGTACCTCAACAAAAATTGAGTAGCATTTTAAATGTTATTGCAGGCTAACAGACTAAACCTAAAATTTAGAGTTTATTTACCAATGAAGTAATGGATACTGTGAAGATTTCTCATAAATTAAGTAAGAATTAATCTATGATCTAAATTGATCGATAATCACCATAATTAACAAAGAATTCTTCGTTTCATCGACCTAATTCAAGTGTCAAAATAAAGAATATTAATAGTCTATCTTCTGAATAATCGTAATTATAAAAGATTAAAGATAACATCAAATTACTATTATAATAGAGAGACAATAATTGGTAACAAGATCAAAAGGAGATGACTTTCATGATAAAATTAAATTAATCTTTAAACCAATTACTTTCAATAATTTTTTAAGACTAGCCAAATACTTAAGCGACTTCTACTTAAGATACAAATTCTGGTGTTCAATTAGATCATTTTTTTAAAAGATAAATTACAATTCTATAATAATTTTACACTTAATAAGTGGAGAAGAAAAAATTAGAAAATATTCTTACTTCAATAAAAAGAAAACATGAAAATGTTCTTATAGAGTACAACTAATTATAAGAATAGAGGAAATCTGAGGAAGATAAAGTGAAAAATTTGGAATCTCAAATCTAAGGGTTACAATCTAAAATATATACATAACAAATGGAAATAAAAAATGAGTAAGGTATATATGTAATCATTATTGATAGAATTTTTGGAATTGAAGTATCTTGTTCAAGGATAATTTGAAGCAATATAAAAATTATTACAAAGAGAATAATTGACAAAAATATTTTTAAAGAGAGTTGGAGATAATTCTATTTTAGAGTATTTTTTATGATATAATTCAGGATGTTTGATTAATTTATCTAAAATGCTGAATAAACCAATATGGATGATACAGAAGGGAATTTAAATATAGATATTTTACCATCTAATAAATTAATTTCACAAAAAAAATAAGCAAAATTATTGGATCATATGAGCTTACCAGAAAAGATTATTTCTTAATATGAAGAAAATTATAAATTTTAATTGAATTTATGTGACTCTTTATTAGCAGATGATTCTAGTAATAATTTTATTCATATATTATTAGGAGTGAATGATTCAGAGGAAAGCAGTTTTGGTTATATGGGAAAGGAGCAGGCGACTGAGATTAGTTATTATTTTAATGATGCTGAATAACTTATTTAAGTTTAAAATAAGAGAAACAGAATTCAGACAATTTCAAAAGAGAAATTAAAGATTAATATGATGGATGTACAATTGGCATAGGCAGTGTAAATATTTATATATATTAAATGTGTAGTTATAAACATTAAGAATTAGTTGAATAATAATAATAATAATAATAACAAAAGATACTTCCTGATTATTTGATGGATAATGAAAATGAAGAATCAGAAGAGAATTTTTGTTATTAAGAATAATAATTTTGATTTGAATATTCATATTGTTCGTTCTTTATTAATATTTTATATTAAATTTCAATTCTATCAATCAAAATATAATAATAATAGAAGAGATTGAAAATCAAAACTTTGTAAAAGTTCAAAACCATTTCTTTAGTTTTCCTTTAATCCAGAATCCTTTTTTTTCATTCCCTTCCTTGTCTACAAATATTCCCATTCCATCTTATAATCCATTCTTCCATTGTCCCTTATAACAGCGACCATCACTATATTACATTTCTCCATATCCATGTTTAAGTCCTTCTAAATATTGACCAGTATAGATTCGACCTTAAAAATAAGTTAAATCAAAATTTATCGCATACCATCACCCCATTTCATAGTACCATTTCCATGTTTAGTTCCATTTTTCCAATAACCTTCGAAAATCTTTTTCCTGTCTGGCCAAATCTACCTTAAGTAATAAGATTTACAAATGATCCGTAACCATGAAATTAATCATTTTCAAATTCTCCCTCATAAACACAACCATCAGCTAATCTCATTATTCCAAGTCCATATTTCATTCCCTCCTTGAATTTCCCTTCATAGGTTGATTTGTCTTTGTATATCTCTTTACCCATGCCATGTTATAATCCCTTTTTCCATTCGCCTAAGAAATATTGATAAATGATACCTTAATAAATGCGACCATCAGAATAGACATACTCGCCTATTCCATGGAACATACTGTCAAGCCATTGTCCCTTATACTTCTCTGTGCCATTCACATAGACTGCTTCCCCTTAAAGTTCATTTGAAGCCCACTATGAAATATTATTAAAATATTACAGTTCCTTCAACATAGCTATGAATAATATATATATAAGATACAACCTATCTTGGAATTAATATTAACCTTTTCCATTTGCTTTACCATCCTTCCATTCTCCTTTATAGATGGCTCCGTTCTTCATCAATATTGAAGATTAATCGTAAGTATTTAGTTAGTTTGGATCAAAACAAAATTTTGATTGCTCCACTTGAGTTGGTGCTGATGTCTCTGGAGAGTGTAGAGTTGTCATAAGTGATTTACGAACTTTATGACCTCTGTAGAGTGCTTATATGACTATGATTTTATTCTCATCATAAATTGGAGAAGTATCCTCTTTGATTACTATTTCTGTTTGTTTGTGTCCACTTGAATCCATTGTGGGGAGATCTTCAGTAGATGCTGGTAAGCTCTTGCAAATGCCCATTTAGAATAGTTATTATGAAAATTATTTTATATTCCAAAAATCCTTATATATTCTAGAGTAATTTAAGTTACATTTGAAGCTACTCTAAGAAAATTTATCAATATAGTAACATAACTTATAATTACTTATTAGGATCCTAATTTTTTATTTATAAAGTATAATCTATATATTATATTTAAACATGTTTGCAGAACTAATTCAGCATATAAAAAATACAAGTCCATAATTTACAATAGGACAATATGCAGACGCTTATGATAATTATAGTAGTTGGCGTATGTGTAAAGTGATCAATCTAACATCTGATTTGATCACTGTTTAATACGATGGATGGAGCTAGAAATATGATGAGACTCATAAACTTAAAGTAGGAAGGGTCGTGTATTTTAGATCACATACTGAACTTTATACAGGTGCTTAAAAGAGTGCTGTTAGAGAATTCTATATAGCTAAAGAGGTGGATCACATTCAATAAGTCATTGAGAAAATGCAGAAGTTAATAGTAAGCGATTTTGCCAATGTTGAAGCATAGGATGTCTGTCAATTTGTGAGAGGAGAACTCTATCTACTTATTGATAGTGTGATGCAAGAATAGTAATAATATACTCAGGGAGAATTTAAAATGACTACAGATCTAATAGAGGCTTTCATACGATTCTTTATCTTTTGGGCAAATAGGATTTTGGAAAAAATCAATATATATATTCAAGGCATTTAAGCACATCCTCTCATTTATTATTTTCATTTGGACACTTGTTTAGTATCATGTCATCCTGAGATGTTTGATACTCTTACTAAAATATTCAATGGAGGAGGATCAAGATGTAAAAGATATTTTCTGAATAATGAATAATAACTATTAAAGATGTATTCCATTTCTGATAGACACACCTAAAATTTCTAATAAGGATTCTTCAAATATTTTTAAGATAGCAATGGTTTATAAGTAATAGAGAATTTAATCACTTGGTAACATGGGGAAGGTGAGGCCAAATAAAAAGTGCCTTTTGGAATAATTAAGAATATATTACCCTTAGTTGAAGGTATATATAGGAGCTTTCCTACAAACTAAATTAAATAAGAATGGTTATCAAAAATGAAAGATATGATAATCAATAGATTACATCAATTAACAAATAATGATCTTAAGGAATCTAATCTAAATCCTGTATTTTAGATTTTTAAATTGATTCCATAATAATTCTCATCTATTTTTAATATATCTTAAGAATGTGAAGCTACAGAGATTAAATTAGCTATCACTTTAATAAAATCATCTATATTAGAGAAGAAAATAAAAGGTGTTAAAGAATTAACAGAAATAATAGATAAAGTAACAACTTCTAAATCTTCAATGATGTATCAAAATGTAATGAGCAATTATTTCAATCCAGATAAATTAGGTAAATTCCTTTAAGAGGAGAAAGTTTTTGATATCCTTTTATAAGAAGCTGGACATGCAGAAGTATTTAAGAGAGCTGCACCAATTTTGAGATTTATGGTTGAACAAGTGAATTCAAGTATAAAGGATATAGAATAATTATGGGAAGCAAGTTAAATGAGACATGAAACAGAAGCTTAGAGTGTATATGAAGTAATAAGTGATATTGCAAGAGTAATGAATCATGAATAAATGGATATGATTTATTAAAAATTGGCAAATTTGAATTAAAAAGAAATTGATCTAAATTTAATTATTTTTATGAAAGATTTCACTTTAAGTGCTTTTAGAAATGTACCTTGTAAGAATAAAGGGATATAATCTTTAAATTTGATGTGGGATTTACTATAAGATAAAAGTGAATTGAATTCTAATTTGCTTGAACCTTTAATGAGTGGATTTATATAATGTTTAAAATAAGATCGTGAACAATATTAATATTAATAATTATGTTTGGAAAATTTAAGAAGAAGTATTTCATTCCCATAATGTTTACATATTCTTTAAAAAATAATTGAAAGTTATGGATAAGGATAAGTTTATTTTGGAGGTTCTTCTTCAGAAGATAATCTTAATAAAGTTATGAAAGAACATTAAATGATAGATCTAATTATTAGAAATCTTGAAGTTTATAGGGCTAATGTAAATAATTGTTAAGATTGTTTCACTATATTAAGTGGTAAAGTGGCACATGCTTAACGTATACAATATAAAATGGATTTTCTAGAGTATATAGCTGCAAGTCCAAAAAAGTATGAGTTTTCACTTGAAAATTTTAAGAAATTATGGAATATATTAATAATTAATCCTATTCATGAAACAGATCGTAATCCTATGTTAGATTTCTTAGTAAAAGGTGGATTTAGAGTAAAAGAAGATTTATTTAAAAATATATTCTGTAATATTAATTATCCAATTAAATTATGTTATAGAAGTATAGAAAAGTACTTTATGTAATTAAATTAAAAAAATGGGTCAATAAATTGTTAAAAATCTTAAATAAGAATTTTAAAATATGATTAAATTGTTGGAATCAATTTCTTTTTTGATGTGGCCTTTAATTATCCAGATTCAGATTAAGCTATATAAACACTATTATAATTACATATGAGAACAGAGAAAGCTAATTAAGTAGAATAGAAATTGTAAATGTGGAACTCACTACTTATGAAATGTAAAGAAGCTTTGAAATAATCAAATAATTAAGTTTAAATTTAAAATGTTATTAAATGTCTTAAAGATCTAGTAACTGGAATAGAAGGGAAATAGTATTTTAATACAAGTAGTCCTGCAATTACTTTTACAAAATTCTAAGTTTAAATAGTTAAGGATGAAAAAACATTGAAAGAAATATCCTTACCTTCTAATTCTACTTTATTAGCAGTAAGAAAACATTTAAATTAATTATATAATTTCAATCAATAAGATTTTGATATGTATTTGGCTAATCATGATATGAAGGTTAATTAAGATAATGAAGAAGATTTAACAATTAGTTTATTTGAGGAATCTAAATCTAGAGATAAACCAGATATTATTTTATAAAATATCAGTTAAAATATGAATTCATTATGTTTAAGTATTCGTAAATTTAAGGCAAATTTAAGTAGCAATACAGAATTATCAGAAATATTATTTGATTTATTATAATCAGAGAATTATGAAGATATATGGGAGGTATTAACATTAATGCCTTAAAATAAATAAATAAAAGATAGATTAGATAAAGGAGGATCTGATGAGGATTCATGGAGTAAAATTTTGTATTTTAATTGTAATAAAAAATTATTATATTGTTTACAAATCTATGAGACAATGATATAATAAGATAGGAATGTAGGATAAAATTTTTTAAAGACAAAAGGTTGTTAGAGTATTATTAATTATTATCTGAAAAGGTAAGAAAATGAGTTTACAAATTTATTCAATTTGAAATGTTTTGCATAGATAGCAAAAATTATAGGGATATGCAATATTAAGGATTAAGAAATCAATAGGAAATGTGTGAAATATATAATATATGCTTTGTAAAAAATTGAAAATAAAGTATACTAAGATCCATCTGCAATATAGAGTTTTCTTTAAAATAATTTTAGAATAGCTTCGACTGAGAATGTAGGGGATATTGAATAAATGATAAAAAGTTTAACAGAATTGATTGATCCTTAAATTAGAAAGACTTTGTGTTAATAATTAATTGATTTAAAGCCTTTACATAAACATTTTTAGAATTTAGGTGAGAATTTATAAAATGTAATGAAATTGAAAAATTAAGGTGAATAATATTTAGAATTGTATGCTGGAGTTTTATAATAGACTAATAATAATGATTTAACAAGGATTACTTAAAGATTACCAGAAATAGTGATTAGTTTCTTATAAGAGGAGGAAACAGAGAAAATATTATTATAGGCTTTTAGATTGATTTGTATTTTAGTAACAAAATGTTAAGAATCATTATTAATGATTACAACAAATGAATCATTAGCTGATTCTATAATTAATAGTCTATTTTAATTAAATAAAAAAACTTTATAAAGTTAAGATACAAGAAAAGCAGGTTATGAAATAGTTTAAAAATTATTTGCAAATTAGAAATTGATGTTAATTTTTGAATAGTATTTTTCTTGTGCTTTTTGGAGAACAAGTTCAAATACAAATTGGAATATAGTATAAACATAATAGAGTAAGAGTTAAACTGGTTTTGTTGGTTTACGTAATTTAGGATGTATTTGTTATATGAATTCATTAATGTAATAATTATTTACTTTACCTAATTTCAGAGAAAGTATTTTATCTTTAAATCTTGAATAAGGATAATAGACAATTGCATATCAATTTTAATTATTACTTTCTGCATTAAAAAATTCATAAAAATAATTCTATGATCCTACTAATTTTTGTAGTGTACTTGGTCCAAATTATAAACCAATTAATTTTTATGAATAAATGGATGTAGATGAATTTTTTTTATAACTTATGGATAAATTAGAATTAGAACTTAAACCATTAAAAAGAGATATGATTATACCTAAAAGTTTTGGTGGATTTATGAGTACAGAATTTATAAGTAAAGGATGTTAACATTAATCTTCAAGAGAAGAATTATTCTTAGCTCTTTCATTGTAAGTAAAAAATAAAAAAAATATTTATGAATCAATGAAAATGATGACTGATGGTGAAATGCTTGAAGGTGATAATGCATATATGTGTGAAAAATGTGAAAAAAAAGTTCCTGCTTTAATGAGAGTTTGTATTAAATAATTACCAAATGTATTGATTATGGTATTAAAACGTTTTGAATTTAATTATGAAACATAATAAAAATTCAAATTAAATGATTATTATGAATTTCCAACTTAATTGAATATGAAATAATTTACTAAAGAATACTTATAAAAATAAGATTATCAAGATACTGAAGATGCTGATAGACCTATTGTAACTGAATATTCAGATGAATATTATGATTATTATTTAAGAGGAGTAATTATTCATGTAGGCACAGCTGATCATGGACATTACTATTCATTAATTAAAGATGCATAAACTAATAAATGGTATGAATTTAATGATATTCTTGTTAAACCTTTTGAATTTGGTGATTTGGCAACTGAAGCATTTGGTAATGATGATAAAGGAAGAACTAACTAATTATTAAGTAGATCTAAAAATGCTTATATGTTATTTTATGAACGTAAGACTTATTTTGATGAAAATGGTAAACCATTAAAAAATGATTAGGAATTAAGATGGTTTTTTAATAATAATAAAAATGAAAAATAAAATGATGAAATATTAATAGACAATATTAAATTTTAAATTAGTTAGGTTATGTTTGATGAAACATTTTTTGAATTTAGTTGTGCTTTATTAGATGAAGGTTCTTAAATTCATATTGGTAGATTTTGTTTATAATATTTTCTTACTGTTGTTATACGTTTTCAAGAGAGAGGATAATTTGTACCAAGATATTTGGAAAAATTAAAATAAATAACTAGAAATTCAGTTCAATTAGCAAATGAATTTTTGATTTCTATATAAAATATTGATGTTCTCAATGAATTAATCTTACAAAATCCTATTCAAGATATGAGAGTCATTATTGGTGGATTAATTAATGATGCCATTAAATGTCTTATAGACAATGAAAAATATACTTCATATAAAGAATTCAAATAAAAAAGTAATTTAATTTAACTTACATAATCTATGATTCATTATATTTAAATTAGAAAAAATTCAGATTAAATCTAAAGGATAATCTATTAATTATCATTACATGATTTCAGTAAAACATATTTAAGAGAATTAAAAGGTGTAGGAAGAATCTTTCTATACTTTTTAGATGAACCTCCTGTTGGAGCTGGATATATTGAAATTACAGATCCTAATGTAGAATAAAAATTACTTAAAATTAACAAATAATATATTAGAAATGAATAAATATAATAAAATCCATAAATTTTACAATAGTAAGATAATCTAAAATTTGATAATCTATTTATAGATTATTCTTACATAGTTATGGCTCTTAATTAATTAATTTATTAAGATGATGACGAATTATGCATGTTAGATGATCCTTAACTTTTTAAAAGAATATTAAGTTCTACATTTGCAAGATAACCAAGATTGGCATTAAAAGAAGCAATATAAAAATATATAAAACTAAATAATAATCCATGGGATCAAAGTCTATCTGTTGTATAAACACTTTATGAACATATGAAGGATTGTGATGAAAAAGATTTAAAAACAGCATTAATTGTACTTAGAGGTATAGGTGAAATTGATGATGCATATATAGAATAAAGAGTATATATAAATTTTTATTTAGTTAACTTTGGTAGCTGAAGCATTTATTTCTGCTCTGAAAGATAACTTAGGTTATTGGTATTATACATCAATTATGTTTGATTATATAATTAAGGTATTGTTTATTATAATACATTATATAGATATGTACTAAATTGGCTTTTCAAAAAGCTTTCGTTGATGTGTTGAATAGAAATAAAGGTGTTTTGAAATTAATGTATTAATGGTTAAAAGAATCATAGAATCCATTTTAGAATTTCTCATAATAAAGGGTATATATGATAAATAATTATTTTAAAGTGGAAAGTCTTTAAAAAGAGATAAATGAATGTATTAGCTTAGGATATAACTGAAAAATTAAATAAATTTTAAGCCTTATCATAAAAACGTATAGAATCCCTTGAAAAAATCATGAATCAATAAGTTGTTAATAGTAGTGGTTATGATTCTGATACAGTTCCTAATTTTGAATAATAGGTTGATGTCATAATCCCAGCAAGAACATACCTTAATAATTTTGAAACTTGCGGTTATTCTACATGGACAATAGGAATCAATTTAGGAGATATGATGGAATTAAGATAAAACAATATGAATAAATGGGTTTTTAGTACAGATTCATCACTTGCACCTCCTAATACATAGACAATAAAATATGAAAATCATGTTTCCTTTATGAAATGATCAATAAATATCATCATTTAATTAAATCATCTAAAGTTTGATTAAATTCATTAGGCACAAAAGATTTGTATTCATACAAATCAATTGCTTGTTAATTCTATTCTTCAAATTGCTATTATAATAAACTCTTAATTTCAGGTTTAATTGTATTTAAATATTCTTTACTTTTTGTTGAAAATTCTAGATATTACTTAGGTTGATTAAAGAAAATCAAATAATTTAAAAATTAATTAATTGAATCTAAATAAATATAATAAGATACTAATTAAATCTGTACTTTTTGTTTTTATATCCTTTTAAAAATTCAATTAAATATTCTTCTTCTACAGGAGATCTTTTTTTGATGTTCCTATTCAAAAATGATTTCTCCTTAGGTTTTCTCTTTCTAACTCCTGTAGTCACAGAAATTGTGTAAGAAGACTTTGACATTCCTGATTTCCACTTACATCACTCATCTAATCAAAATGAGCATTAATTTAAGATGCTGCTAAAATTCCATGTTTTTTCTTCTATTCTTAAACAATTCTAAATCTCTCTAATTTTTAAATGAATAAATGTTGTTAATTTAATAAATGATTAATTTTTAAAGAGAATGCTAATTATAAATGATCATCAATATTTATTTACTAATGTCTTATACATTAAGCTACACATTCTCATTCTTCTGCTTTACAATTATAATGAATAGCTTATTCATAAATCTTTAAATATTCTTAAACTTATCCACAATCCTTCCATCGTCTAGCCGCTAATAAAATCTAATTATAATTTTTTAAATAATCTTCTTTTGGATAAATAGATGATATTGTTTTAGTATCTAATATTTCAGAAGATTCTTAAACTGCTTTTTCATAAAATATATTTACCATATAATAAATAAATATAATATTAGATATAACTTCATTCTATTATACAAGATTAATCTATATTATTAAATTAGACTCATCTTTATTATAGAATCTAGATTCATCATAACTGTATGGTTTGCTTTATTGATTAATAATAATAGTAAATATGAAATAAATTGTTAGTTATATAAAAGCTAACCTTATATATAAATTAATATAAAAATACATTATTAAACTAATTATATATAATCAATTCAAAGTTGATTTAAATCTTATTAAAGGCATTAATTTATCTGAAGCCATAGAATACTTTGATAGTTTATTATAAGGTTTGATTAGCTTTCCTTCTGGAGGAGACTTTTCTGTTTTTTATCTTCTAAAGTCTATTGATTATAAGAAAGCTTTTGATTCATAAAATTTTTATATTGCTCTTCCTTTTCTTGACATCTCATGTTTAATTAGAAAAGGGGATTTACAATTACATTTAAATTTTGCATCTCTATTAGAACGAGAAGTTATTGTTGATTATTCAATTAAATTATGGTCTGATATTTCTTTAAAGACTCTGCCAAGTTATTTTTTAATGATGAAATTTCTATATGAGTCTTAATGTATTGTCTATCTTTTAGGTATCTTATAATTTGTTGTTTAATGAAAGGTTGTTTAATTTCCACATATATTACAATTACAACTCTTTCTTCTTTTTATTCTTTTTTGCATTTCCATCTTTTATGGATTATATAAATGAAAACTAGTTGATATTTATTTTCTGATTTATGTTAACTTAAGAGATGTTGATTGATCAGACTTAAGATGTTACTGAACTGTTAATGGTGTGTTGAAGAATAGTGATTAGATATGTGTAAGTTTGCCACATTAATCACAATAACAACTTGCTCTTCTTTATGTATATGGGGATGATGGAATGAATTATTATTTTAGAGTTGTTTTACGTAGAAGATTTCGTTATTATTTTATGATCAGCATTAAAAAATAGTTTTATAATATATATTGAATCGTTTCACAATTACTTTTTAATCTATCTGCATGAGAAGTCTTTGATTGCAGGAAGAACAATCTAACTTAAACTCATGCATTCAGTTCTAAGTCTTCTATGTTAAATATCTATATGTCTTAAACTCATCATTTAATTTTTTTATTAAATCAATTATTTTGGATCAATCCTACTTCTACTTTACATTTATTCTAATTAAATTGTTCTACTATGTGTTAAATTTTTCCTTTTTATTACAAAAAGTTTTCTAGATTTTTTCTATTTTTTAAATGGGACATCTTTATGTTGAATTTGAAATTATGACATTGACCCACATTCTTAACAATTACAACTATTACGTCTAGGCTTTTATTCTTAAATTTTATAAAATGAAGGTGCTTGACTAATTGATGTAGACATAGTTCTTGAATTTTTACTGATTTGTTATTTTTCATCACTCTATGTTTTCTATTATTCTATTTCTTTTTTAGATTCATCAATTTAAATTTACAATGGCACCCATCCGTTATTTTAATGAATTTGTTAAAATTAACTTAGTTTACCACAATTATCACAATAACATGAACGTCTTCTTGTTATAATTTAGTTTTTATAATGTTAAGAAAGATCTGGATATTTTTGTTAACTAGTCCTACGCCATTTAGCATACATTAATTTAGTATTTAGTTAATAAGAAATATTTATATACATAAAATAAATTATTCTTAAGAATTTATAAATAATAATAATTACTTATTATAATTTCATGATTTTGAAGTAGGTTTATGAATATTTTTAAAATGGACTGGCATTCCTTACAATTATTGATACTTTGTAGACAATTTCTAAGAATCTTCATCTCCACTAAATTCATCCATATATTAATGAAACCCCCAAGTAGAATCAATTGTTTTATAGCGCTGAGAATAAGGTTCATTAATTTTACTCTATATTAATCCTTAGGTTCAATTATTTATATTCCACTATGAAAACCTACTGATTATCTTTTTGAAGATTTGGCACTCTTCTTGCTTTTCCTACTTTTTTTACTTCTAGACCTTTTCTCATCTTTAATACTTGTATTCTCAACCTAAGAAGGCACATATTTAATAATCATAGATGACATAGATCCCTAAATTGATGTACTAGTCATTCTTTTAGATTCAGCTCTAACAGGACTTCCACCATTTTATCTATTTACTTCAGGAGGCTTTAACAAATGATTTGAACCTAATATAGCTTAAGAAGATTGTTTGTGTTTATCTTCAGAGACAGCCCATATAATTTAATCTTTAATTTTGGTAGAACGATCAGACCATTCAAAAACCTTATCCATAATAATTTGGTTATTGGATGCAGCTTTAAGAATGAGAGATTTCATATACTTATAGTCGGGCTCTGATTTAAATTCTAATTTTTTTAGATAACTATGTTTTAGTAGGCTGTTACTTCAGAATTTCAGCAAATTCAGAAGGAATTTCTTTACAAAGATCTGCAATATCAGTTTTCATTTTCACTTCTCCAACTATTGAAGTTCTGTCTCTATGTCCAATATTTTGTAAATTTTACCAAGGCAATTTGCTATAATATGAAAAGTTCACTCTACCCTTTTAAGAGATAAATCATCACATAAAACATGGACTCAACATCATCCTTTCTACCTAACTCATGACCTCGATGGGCAGCAATTGAAGCATATCTGGTTGTACCTATAAAAGACTTTTTATCTTTAGGTGGACTAAAATATATAAATAGATTTTCAAATTATACATATGTTTTCCTTAACTATCTATATAGACTTTAGATACTCCATAATCAACCAAATAAATTATTCCATTATCTAATTGATATCCTGTAAGAATATTTTCAGGTTTGAAATCTCTATGAATAACCCCTTTTTCATGAACTTATTATAAAGTAATCAATAATTAGTGAGTAATTTGCAATACAGTTTTGAGACTTAATTTTTTATATTGTTTAATATAATGACTAAGATCCTTTCCTAATAGTTGAATGACAATAACATTATAATCTTATTCAAAACCACTCCAATATAATTTAGGAACTCCAGGCACACCAATAAGACGATTAAGAATAGCAATTTCTCTGTCTAAAGAACTTGCATCTTCATTTTCTTCTTTTTCTACTTTTACAGCAACTTCTTCTCTTGTATGTTTATCGAATGCTAAATACACTATACCAAATGATCCAGAGGAAATCTATTGTTTAATAATATATTTATTATTGAAGATCTTTGGATCTCTATAGCTTTAAGGAAGCTTCATCATTTATATATATATATATATTAATTATAATTTATATTCAAACGACAATCAAATATTCACTACATATCCTAATTTCTTTAATTCTTCAATTCTTTTTTTAGCTTTTGTAGCATTAATTAGAGTCTATGATAAATAAATATTTTTTGGTAGTTGTCCAATCTTAATTATATTAAGAATGATATCAAGTATTCTTTCTGAAATTAAATTTGAAGAAAGATGCAAAGATGTTATATTTGCATTCTAAGTTAAAGCTTACAATATAATATTAGCACCATCATCACTAATCTTATTCCTGGCTAATTTCAATTATTTAACTTTTTTACATATTTTCAATTATTCTGCAATAATATTACAACCCTCATCTCCTAATTCTAAAATAATAAGAAATTATATCATACCTGCATTAGATAAATCTACAATTTCTAAATTGTCATTTCGAAAAGCTTGCATGATAGGTTCAAACTTATCATTAATTTTAAAAGTCTTCTTTCTTTTATCTTGTAATTTAGGTGTAGGAGATATCCCTTATCTCAATAAAGAAACAGGAGGAGGTGGTTATAAAGATGAATTATAAGTAGCATCTTTACTAGGACTCTTTTATTTTAACTATTTCAAAGGAGTTGTTGATTACAAACTTTGAATAGATGGTTCTGTTCTAACAGGACTTTTAGCTTATTATAATTATGATGTCTATTTTAATTCATGAATTGAATTTGATACTACATGATTAACTTAAGAAATCAAATTATCTTCATTATCTGTCCAATCAGCTACTGAATTATCTCTTAAAAGTAGAGGTTCTTCTTAATCAAATTTACTAAAACTATTTTCTATATGATTTGTTTCATTATGATTAGTTTACAATGTTAATGCACACATAGTTTCGAAACACTTTTCTATCTCATTTTTCTTAAAATCTACTCTAATTTTCTTAATTTTCACATTATTAATTCTTTATTCCAACATTTTATTAGTTCTATCCATTTCATCTAATATAGCATTTCCTTTAAATTCTTAATTGTATAGTAAATCTAATGGTAATTCACCATTTTCAGTCTTAGTAGAAAAATAAAGTAATCTATCTTTTGCTCCTATCTTCCATAATTCTGCTTATTATAAACTTTATTAGATTTAATCCTTGATCTATCTTTTAGTTTGTTATTCCAAAGTTTATGATAATCCATTCAATTATTCCAATAATTTATTCTCTTTAATATCCAACTGATTATGCAATTCTTTAAATTTCTCTCTCACTGCTATCTGACTCTCTTATAACATAATCTAATATTTTTCATTCAATAACTCATAAAACTTAGATTCTGTCAACTCTTATTATTTATCCAAGATTTTCTAATAAGTCTACATGATATTCTCAGCTTTAGAAGCTATCTCTCTAACTACATCATCAACTGAACGAACCTCGTGATGTCTGTGATTACCAAATAAAGCACATTTAGTACATATACGAATTTTATCTGTTAAACATACTATCTCTAACTTCTCCAAATGTTCTGCACATAATTCAATCTTCTCTTAAGCCAAATTATTCAAATGTAACTAATATTCTGGATGATCTATTGATGGTCTCTACTTCACAACCATTTTTAAAAGTTAGCAATTCTTTGGAAACTCTGTTATATGTGTCTTCCCTTTTGCAAGAATACTTTATATATCTCATTGTCAGAATTACTTATCCTCAGGACAACAAATCTGCTAACCATCAGCACTCATCAACATCTATTTTATGCATTTTTAGCAGATCGTATGTCCACAATCAGGTAACATTAAAGGAATATTCTCGAATTCATTGAATATATTACGGCATTACGGACAAATAAGCTCTTCCATTTTAATTAAAATAACGATACTTAATAATATGAATACTATTAATTTATAACTCATATTTTCAATTCATTATTCTCATCAAAACTTTAATCATCATCAAATACTAAACATATACAAATTAAATTGTCTAAATTTATATTTACACTATATTACTAATTACATAAAAATTGTAATGACATAATCTAATTATTTTTAACTATATGAATTATAGTATATTTAATAATTAAACTCTATGAAACACAATAAATAATTTATTATTAAATATTAATTCCTTTTTAGATTATTTATTATATTGTATTTATTCATTTATATCATGATTTCTTTCTAAATTATTTTAATGAAATATATTCTTTATATTCTATCTAATTTTCAATATATAGTCTAAATCATTATAAAAATTTGTTTTGATTGTTAATTAACATATTTATTATTAATAAAATGAAAACATAAATTTAAAAGGAATTAATAGATCAATATGTTTAAATGGGTTTTTCAGTTGAATTAATTTATATGGCATGGGAAGTAATTAATACAGAATCAGAAATGATTAACACACTCATTTCTTTATCAAATCAAAATTAGTAAATGCAATAAACATCAAATGTATGTTTTTTTTTTAATATTATTTATAGAAATAAGATGAAGAAATACAATTAACATAAGCATTACTTGATTCATATAAAACAAATCAATAGACAGGATCTTAATAATTTGAAATCATTTCACCTGAATAAAGAAAGAGAGTTGATGGAATACCATGTGGTTTAAAGAATGTTGGAAATACTTGTTATTTTAATGGTTTGCTCTAAACATATTTCTTTGATAGTCAATTTGTGAAGACTATCATAAATTTCTAAATTGGATAAGGAAAATAAAGTAAATCAATATAATTAGTATAAAATCTATAAAATCTCTTCATAAATATGATTGGGAGTGATAAAAAGTATGTAGATCCATCAGATGTTGTTAAAAGTATTTGTGATGAATTTGGAAATGTTCTTCCAATAGGTGATTAGAAAGATGTTGGTGAATTTAATCATTATTTCTTAAGTAGAATTGGAGAAGCACTTACATAAAATTAATAAGAAAGTAATAAAGTAGAAGATATATATATTGAATCTTCTCCATCTATTTTAAAGTAAAAGTCATCTATTATTCATGATGAAGATATTATTTCAAAATTATTTATGTGTAAAGTTTTTCATCAATTTCAATTTGAATAAGGTGGTAATCAATAAATTAGAGAAAGTACAGAACTTTTTAATTATATACCACTTGATTTGAAAGATGGAAATTTATATGATAGTTTTGATAATTTTGTTGTTAATAATATTGATGATTTTAAAAATGATTTAAATGAAACAGTTTAAGCAGTTAAATATAATTGGATACATTAACCACCTTAAAAATTATCATTTCAAATTTAAAGAGTTATTTATTGCAAAGATAAAAGTAAAATTGTTAAAGAATATTATATTTAGATGATTTAATTAAATAAAATGATGAGTTTATATTTGATGAAGAAATCTATTTGGATAGATATTTAATGGAAAATAGTTAGAAATATTTAGAAACTAGAATATAAAATAAAGAATTTAAATCAAAATAAAAGAAAATTAAATTAAGTTAATAATAATTAACTAAATTTAATGAATAAAATGATTTATAAGATGTATTAAATAATGCAATAAAATTTTTGGAAATGTAAAACTAAGAAAATATTGATCATGCTGCTAATTTTGGATAATCAGATTAATAAGCATTTATTGATTAATTACAATAATATAATTAAAAAGTATAAAGGAAAAAGCAATTATTATAAAATCAATATGATGATCTTGAAAAGAAAATATAAGCTAGCTACAATGATTTAAAAAAACATAAATATCTACTTTAATCTATTTTAATACATGATGGTTAAGCCAGTAATTTAATATTCTATATTATTAGATTCTGGACATTATTACACTTACATTAAAGATTTTCGTCTAGATACATGGTTTAAATTTAATGATATTCATGTATGTGTAGAGACAAAAGAGAAAGTATTTTAAGATGCTTTTGGTATGAAAACAGGTGTTAATGCATATTTATTAATATATACTAGAATAGATATAGTGAAATAAGAATTAGAGTCTCCAATGAGAAAATACAGAATAAGTTCAGAATAGGAATATTTAAATGATAAATATGGTAGTTTCTTAAATTACATATAAAGAGAATAATTAGCCAAAGAGAATTAATTATTCTAAAATGAAATAGAGGATTATAAATTTTCAAGAATCATAGAGAAATTAATTGAGTCTTATTAAATAAGATTTTAATTTATTAATGAGCAATATCGAATTATTTTTAATTCTGTACAATAAGAAGTATATAAGCCATTAATAATATTGAATTTTCCAATGTTTATTAAAAGTAAAATGGTTTTATTGGGTAAAGATAGTTATGATAATATAATAAAATGGTCAATATTAGATTCAGCATTGAGAGATGTAAATTAAGATAAATAAGGTTTTTTTGGTGGATATATTAGCGAAAAAGTAAAATTAAAGAATTATTAGATAGTTTAAAAATTAAATAATGAATAGATTTAAGGCATAATTTAATGAATTTAAGAGACCAACAGAATTTTTGAGTTTAGAAGAATAAAATGAACTTCATAGATTGTCTTAAGAATATATTTAATACGTTGCAATGGCTTCTTTGGCTTCAATATTATTAGATTTAATATTAAAAAGAGATTTTTCAAATGTATTATCAGTATTACATCATTTTTCAAAAATTGCAAAATAATTGGATATGCATAATTATTTTTATAAAATGGCAAGTAATTTTTAAAAATTAATTCCAATTATAATAATTTGTAAAATGATACCAATATAAGCAGATGTAAATTTATAAGAATTAGAATTACTATAAGCATATCTAACATTTTAACATTTTTAAGATGATAATTAGAATTTTTGGGAAACTTAATTTTCAATAATGATGAATGCAGTTCATGAAAATCATGATGAACCATAAGTATAGGTTATAATTACAAAATTAGAAAATAATGTATAAGATCCAAATTTAATAGGATTATTAGAAATGATTAATGATGTAAATATATTTAATAATATTTATATATATAGGATATAGGTATATAATAAGCA